ACTTCTACTCGATCCATCTTGATTTTCCTCGAGGTGAACTCATATGCAAGTGAGGAATAATATGGCCTCTAAACAAGGGTGATCGCATGCGTGCATATTCCATCAGCTCAGTGGTTTTTCAAGGGAGCGGCCTAATTTTCTGTCAGATTCAATTTTTTTGTAAGTATAAACAAAACTTCAAGTAAGGAATTCCAGGATAAATGCGAGGCTGTGATTTAAAAATTGAGTTCAAAAAGAACGGAGCTGTTTGGTTCAGGATCGGTGTGTAGCTCACATTCATCGAGAACAAAAATTCACGAGTGAGAAATCCCAGGAAGGCATGGTCTGGAATGGAAATGAACTTCAAAAACCAGCAGTACACTTCAATCCAAGATCAGAGACACGTCAACGACACCTTGGTGTAAAATGAGTTCATGAAAATGTACTGAAGGGAACTCAAGGAAGGAAAGTCAATTGTATAAAAGACATAAGAGTCTGACTATTGCCATCAAAAGTAATTTGCTTTTCCCATCCGTACAATGTAAGGGATAGAAACGCGGTATTGAACTGAATTTTTTGGAATTCAGAATACCCTAGAGTAAAGATGGAAGGTGGCTCAGCATATACACGGCCGTGAAACACCCTTTTCTAAGCGCTTTTGATCAGACAACTTCTCATGTACCTTCCTCACAAATCACAGGTTCGCCACAGTGGGAAATCTCGAGAACGATTTTCATGATAATGCATTCAGTGTGAACTTTTCCGCTGTATTGAACAAGTTAAGATCAAAAGCGATCTGCGGTCACTTCTTAGATTAGTTACCATTATTCTTTATGATTTACATTGAAGGAGTATCCGAACTGATTACTTTTTATATGTTGAATATCTCAGCTCGTTATGAACGATCAGCCGTCCTCCTCTTCCATACCGGTTGGTACTGGCTTGGCTGATCCTTGGGCCTCGTCGATTTCGGGGGAGCAATCAGCTTCTTCAGCTCCGCTTTATCCAAGTGGTGAGTACCAAGTTTTTTTTCCTGTTTGTAAGATGTAAAACGATATTAAGGCCATTTCGCCCACAGTGATCCATGGATGCCAACGACGGTGCAAATTGCGAGCACAATAGTGGCTAGGTCTACAATGGTTGAGGATCCCAGTTCAGATTTCTCTTCGGCATGGGACCAGCAACTTCAGCAGTCGTCTAAAACAGATGTGAGCATTGCTTTTGTTTCTTGAGACCTGGTTTTATGTTTTTACTTGCTGCTGGTACTCATTGCCCCAGAAGTTCATTGTAGCAGTTTCAGTAAAGGTACCTGTTTTCTGTCATGTTCAAAGATTTCAAATCGTCTTGCAAATATACAAAACTTCTCGTCATTAGTGTTCCGGATACTATTCCACTACTGTTTCTAATGCTCTTCTATTTGTACGACTTGCTGTTTTATCATATGATTCTCTCCGTCGTCGTCTTCTTCTTCCCCTTTCCAGCATAAGCCCTGCGTCGTCGCAGAGTCTGTTGTCTTACTAGTCGTTGTCGTCTCCTTCTTTTCATAGCAGCTCCTCTCGGTGAGGCCTTTTTCATCGTGTCCCACCACCTCATTTCTTAGGCTTTTCACGGTAGCTTGCCTTCAGCTTCGAACTCAATTGCTTATCCTATCAGGTTTCTCTAGTCTTCTATTTACGTAATCCGACGCCGATCCTTCACCTTAAGCTGGACAGGGGGTGTATGCAAGATCGTTTTGTTTTTCCTTTCTGACCCGGGCTACCTATCCATCTTAGCGTACTCATTTCCGCTAGGTGAGGTTGTCATTAATGATTTTTGAATAGCAGCCAGCACTGGCTACGGTAGAGCATCATGGGCCTGGCTACTGCTCTATACAGCATTCTTTTGAGCGTCCTTTCAGTTTCAGTCAAGGCCTTTTCTCTGCTAGCACGTTTTGCCATTCCTTTACCCCCGCCTAATGTTCTTGTCTACTCTCCACTTTCGAAGCGATGTCGTCAGCGAAGATGATCGTCTTCAGTAGTACACCGATGGGTTCTTTTGTGATGACGTGCATAGCTAGCAGGGAGCGGAACGGGCTCAGATTTGATCCTTGGTGTACCCTTCAGTAACCTCAATTGTTTTTGTGAAGCCGTGAGGGGTGCGCCTATGTGTCTTGGACCTGTTGTCTATCGTACATATCATCGACGAAGGATCTCAGGTGTTTTGAAACGTTCTGCCACGTAACGTTCTCTGCAGAACTGGCAGTGACAGGTGAGTGGAGGCTTTCTCCAGATCGTAGAGGGCTAGCTACCAGTCAGCATCTCTCTCAGTACTTTTCCATCCTGTGAGACGGGGACAAGCTTTTACAATAACTGACTGGCCGCTCATACTGTTTCATGGTATGTGCAATCGATCTGACCCCGCGGTAACTGGATAAACTTCATCACTTCTCTTTTCTATCTGAAGATAGGGACAACAGTTTTACTTCTCCACGCATATGCGATACTTCTTCACACAGTCTTAGTGTTCAGGAATCGGATCTTCCGCCTGATCCCGTGCTTTTCGAGCGCTTTCGGGAGAGGATTTTGGTCCGAATAAGATTTTTTTCGTACCTCCACTCACTCACCTGTGAGTTGATCTCCGCTAACTGGTTGGCTGCTGACTTTTCTTCACAAGGCTCGAGCTCGTATCAATGCTATAAATTTGAAAATTCATCACTATTATTATCACAGCTGCACATTCGGAATAACAAGACAAAATGAATGAAATGAAAATGAAAAGTCATGTCATCATAACTTATGCTTTAAAACTATCAGGTTGTCGGAAAAGCCTTCGCACAATTTGCAATTTTTTTAGATTTTTTTTTCATTCACAAAATTTGGCAATTAACAATCATATGCACCATCATTATCGACAAGATAATGACATTTATAAGTGAGTTGTGGGGCCTATGTGCATAAAGGTTTCGCTTAGGGGGGTTTTTTTTGCGTATTTCTTCTGAGGTTTCGAGGAGAAGAAAATGTATGTCTCGAGTTGGTACACATCGTCGAACTTCAGTTTTTAATGGCTTGAGAGCGACAGGAACAGATGATAATCTGTTGGAGCCAGATCTGGTGAATACGGAGGGTGGTTCGGAACATGCCATCCCAAGCTTTGAAGTTTCTTTTGGGTTCCCGTCGCAATGTGTAGGCGAGCATTGTCGTGGAGAGAGTAGGCTTTCCGCTCTTTCTCTCGTAGAACTGCAGCAAACAGTCCATCAGAATACACTAGGAGTCGGTGCTGACGAGGGAGTTTGCTGTTAGCAAGTTCCACTGAACAATCCTCTCAATTGGCTCCAAACCTGAGCAGTCCTTTTTTAGGTGGAAGTTCCTGTTTGGGGCTCCGGATTATATGCTCTACACGTCCAAGCCACTGGCGCTTCCTCGTGTAGATTACTGAGAGGACACGCCTTTCTCTTGGCCGTCGCCGGTGATTCAGTATTCCAGCCATGCTAAGGTGCATTGAAAAGTCAGTAAGCATCTCTCCTCATTTGGAGCTGGTGACCACCCAACTCACAACTTATCCCTACTCCGTATCTCCATGTCTTTCCGAGACTATGCAAATGGGCAGCCGCTGTGTTGTGATGGCTGTTGAGCTCCTGTTCCAACTAGCGGGTACTACGCTTGGAATCGTCTTCAGCGAGCTTCAGAAAGTGGTCGTCATTCAGCTCATGTGGTCTTTCAGATCGTTTGCCTCTTTGAAGTTGTGAACATATTTCTTGTTGTAACGTAAAGGAGGGCCTCATCGCATCGCATTTTTTCCTTGTCGCACAATTTGGATTGATGTTTTTCTGAATCGATGAAGCAGGTCCAGTCTAATTTGCTTTGGGTCGAGAGCGATTCTTCTAGCTATAACCGGTGGGATATGCTACGGCAGATATGGTCTGAAGAGCGCATAAACCTGCACTTAACACATGAACCGCAATGAGTGCTCTCAAGCAATGCCCAGAAATTTCATAACACGGAAATGAAAATGTGGCAAGACCTTTCCGACATCTACATAATACAGTAGCACTCAAAAGTCTTCGGCCAAATGCTTTTTCAGTAGCACCTTCCAGTCATAACTCCTTTCCTACTTGGTCTAATCATACGGAATTTCAGTAAATGTAGCATGGGTGTATTGTGAATATTTACCACCATAAGCCTGCAGTCTGAGCATGTTTCAGATATAAGTTTGAACTCAAATTCAAATGGAGATGCAGATGATGGTCCTTTTGGGGTCTCTTCTTGCCATGCCTAAGATGAACAAGCGAACACAGTGAAGGAAAAAAATGCACATAAGGTGCTAATAATTGCAGACGTGGTCAACCTTGCTTTCAGCGAAGTCTACTACCACAACAAGTCGTGCTCTTGATTATGCGGATATCGTTGCTTTGCAGTCAAATAGTGTTGGATTGTGTGAAATATGCTTTACTCAAACTTTTCAAAATTTGGTCATTTCAGTGATATAATTGACATGTTTTTGCGGAACGCTCATCCTTGGGTTAACTACTTGTCTGCGGACGAGTTGGGATAGTGAGTGTTTCTCACAGTGATACAATTTTTTAATCTACTATGTACTACATATAGTTTTGCATGTTTTATGCTCACAACAGTTTTTCTTCCTTGGGTTTTTTTCATCTCTCATAATTTTTGATGTAACGAATTTTCCAATCAATTCATTCGATTCTGGTTCAGCTGTGTTTAGCCTGGCAAAGAGGACGGCAACCAGTTCACCAGTTCAGGAGATCACGTCACGGGCGAAGTAGTGGAGGTACGCAAAATCTAGCCTGGAACAAAGGTCTCTCCCGAAAAGTGCTCGAAGAGCACGGGATCAAGTGGAATATCCGATTTTTGAACACTGGAACTGGGTGAGGAAGTACCGCATATGCGTGGAGAAGCAGTACTATCGCCTTCACAAACAGAAAGGCGATGTGATGGGATGCTGCAATTGCCGTGGGGTCAGTTCGGTTGCACATACCATGAAAAGCTATAACAACGCCATAATAGGTGCGCCGTAATCGAATTTGGAGCTATATGGCATATCCCTAATGCATCGAATGATGATTTTTCTGGTTTCTAATTATCGTTAGATCGGTCCTCTTGAGGGGCAAGTCAACGTCAAACACCGAATGAGGTCACTGCTTGTCGAAATGCGTTCATCTTGCGGCAAACCAGTGGACCTGTACTGATGTTGAGGATGAAGCGACATTTGGAAGAGATTGGCGGTAACGGCTCGACCTGCCTCTTGATTGTTAGTATTGAACGCTGCAGAGTAGTGTTTTTCAAGGCGATCGTTAGAACACTGTATAAAGATCGGCCAAAAGCAGGATTTCGAAAAGTATCGAAGGGTCCCCTCAGCAGGACGACATTAGTATAAAATTTATTGGCTAAAAACTATAGATGTAGAAGTCACTCAAAATAGAAGCGGGTATACGAGCGTTCGGCAGTCACATGTTCGCTTTGTATATAATCTACGATTAGGGCGGTTACTGACGTCAGCTTAGATCCTCAGAATCTTAAACACATTTCGATGTTAATGTTTTGAAAAAGCAGGAACGTTGGGAATTGGTTATTCATATTGGGGCCATGGTCTTAAGCTTCTGAGCCTCGTACTTTAATCGAACGGCTTCAATTACAATACTGTGCTATGGTGTTTAGATACTGGAAAAGTGGATCTCAGGATGTAAGGATGGATGTTTCGGGTTTTGCATATTTATTGGGTGCGTAGTGAGTGAGTGTAGGTTGTGTGTGTCCGTGTAAGTTGTATATGAAAGTTGTGTATATGTACAGTAGCGCTCAAAAGTATTCGGCGAAATGCTTATTAAGTTATAATTTTCAGTCGTAACTTTTTTCCAATTGGATCTAATCATGCGAAATTTCAATATGTGTAGCGTGGGTGTATTGTGAATATTTGCCACTACTATTACCCTGCATCTAGTACTCTTCCCTTTTTGTCATGTCTTAAGTGTACGAGCTCCAATGCCGAACACAGTAGAGAAGAATAACGCACGTAAGGTGCGAATAACTGCAGAGGTCACTAGCTTTGCTTGAGCAAAGACTGCTACCGCAAAAAACATCCTGCTCTTAGTCAAACAGGGTTGAATGGTGTGAAATATGCCTTATTGAACATATCAAAATTTCTCGCGATTTGCTTCACTAAGAAAAAAGTTACGGACGAAAAAGCGTGAAAGCGTTTGGCCGAATACTTTTGAGCCCTACTGTATAGGTGTAGTATG